ACTCTCTTCTTCTTTCTGTTTGCTGTTTCCTCTCTATCCTGTTAAATTTCCCACTGTGGGATTTTTTTTAAGTTTATTTTTTATTGTTGACATTATTACAGATGTCCCCTATTTCTCCAGCCGTTCCGAATACTCCTTGCTTTTCTGGAGAGGCACCAAATCCCAGTGTTAGAGAGGTCAACTCTCAGCCTGTTGACTTCTTGTGACAGTGTTTACGGTTGGTTATGGCCACTTGTTTATCCCCAAAGCTGTCCTTTTGTTAAGCCCCCATTCAGATTTGGAGTTAATCAGATGCAAGAAGTAAGGTTTTATATATTTGTTTAAAGAACTTTAATTAACAGACCACAACAGCCAGACATGCTCTCCAAATTGTTTTCTTTTTCATCTTTTCTGATAGTGGGCCCACTTGATCAAATTTTAATTGGGCAGGAATTAGCAGCAACATAAATGTGCATCTGTCATCACCGTTTAAAAGTTCCAGGTGTAACAAATTTGATGGTGAAGAAGTGATGTATTTGCTGGGGAGGTTGTAAAGAAGTGACTTGAGTGCTTCACTGTATTAGCAATTTTTTAGTTAAAGTAATGTTATAGGGAATTATTGTTAATCTCGTAAAACTATAGTTTTTCATTAGTTAATGCTATAAAATATATATATTTTTTATCTTCTGAGCATTATTTTTTTTTAATGTATACAGGGGTCAGCATATTCTTACCATTAGTGTCTATCTCCAGATTTATAATTGTTGATGCTAAAGCCAGGATTCCCTGGATATCAATTTGCTTTTCAGCAAATATTGCTGAAATGAACTGTTTGATTAAGCCAAGAAAGGAAATATAGGGGGCGGGGGCAGTAAGATAAGTAGGTGCAAAATAACATTTAGTACTGTTTCTATAAAACACTCTTAAATAGTTTTAACATAGCAATAATCCTTTGTTTACGTTCAACAAGTCTTTATTTATCATTAATCAACAACATACACGTATGTTATCAAACACAAATGAACTCATCGTAATAGGTGAAACACTGAATCGGTGCTTTCAGCGCTTTCTCCTTGAGAACATCCATTCACGTGTTGGTTGCCTTCCAGAACATACCTTGGTCCACCCCTCTGTTACATGTTTAATCATAGATCCAGCCAGAAGTAGAGGTGGGCCTGTGCTTTGGCTCCCACTATATCTCAGTCAGAACCACTGCATCCTCCTTTTACACGGAATATCTGTACCATTGTCCTCTGCTGTTTCCTCATTGTGCATAACACATCTTCCCTCTGTAAGAGAACTGACTGATGACTGTAAGAGAAACCACACTCTAGAGTGCACTTAGGGGAAGAAAACCACATTTTTAGCTAGATAAAACAAACATCTGCTTTGCTAGCCTGTAAAGCAAACAAACAAAAACACCCATATATGTATTTAAAACTCTCATTTTGCAGGTCAGCATGTTTTTACGCAGAAGTATTTAAGTATAGCAAAGAGAAGGGGGAAATTGGTTCTGCTTCTGTCAGGAGCCCATGTAGGCCTGGGAATGACACAGAGAGCAAGATACACAGTCTCTGTTCTCAAAAAGCTTAAATTCTGGTAAGGAGAGGCAGACATTAAAAATTTAGGCAAATGATGGGAGTTTCAGGAACAAGAAAGTGTGATGGTTAGCAAACAATTTAAGGTGAGCAACATTTCCTAATTTACATTTTTAAAAACCCTGGCTACTATGGGGGGGAAGATTGGAAAGGGGCATACACTAGACTGGTATCTGTGGAGAAGGTGGGAAGTGGGTAGAATTTAGAGAATTGAGGCAGGTAGAACAGAAAGAACTTGGTAATAGACCGGGTGAGGGGGAGGATTGGTGGCTCCCAGGGTCTCTGACTTGAGCAAATGGATGGAAGGGATGCTATTAATTAAGACAATAAAGAATGGAGGAGGAGTACTTTGGGGGCAGGAGGGAATTAAGGATTCCTTTTTGGACATGGTACATTTGAGATGCCTGCAGAATAGCCAAGGAGAAGAAAAACCTTGAATGCATTTGCAAAATGAATCCGGAAAAGCGGTCAGGGCTGAGTTATGACTGTGGGTGTTGTTGGCACGTGGATGTATCTGAAACCGCGGGAGTGGGTGAGATCACACAGGAGTGAGGGTAGAGCGAAGCAGAAAAACTTGGTGCAGGACTAGCGCTGAGACATACCAGACCTTTAAGGGATCTGGTAGGGGATGTGGAACTGACAAATGAGCCTGAGCAGGAATGGCTAAAGGCAGTTAATTTGCTAGGGGGAAAAAAATCATATTTCATGATCACAGACCACACAGTCCTGGCCAAGAACTCTCAGCCACAACCCCCAGTTGGCTCCAAAAAAGCCTCACTAATGCGAGAAAAGAAATCTACTGCAGGCGTGGCTTCCCTGCAGCAGGGAGAGGGAGCTTCATTCTCATTTTAAAAGGTGACTGCACCGGATATAATCCAGAGACAAACAAAGAGTGTGTGAAGCTGCTGCTGTTTCTAGAGCAGGGTTTGACATTCCTCTGAGACAAGTGTGAAAGGCTCAGAGATCGAAGTCTCTGTCCTGGTTCAGACGCGGTTACCAGTAAATGGGAATGATCTTGCTTAGCTGGCAGCAGCCTTGCCTTTTACGCTTTCTCTTGTGGGAGGTTAAAGTGCTGCAGCGCAGAGTTTCCGTTTGGTCTTTGTGTTTGAAATTAGATGGGATGTTTAGATTTAATAAGAAAAGTAGCTTAGACGAGGTGCAGACTTGCAGTCCAGCCTTGGGAAAAGGAGCACAGAGGAATCTAGAACCGCTCTCCCCCTGGCTTCAGTTATTTTACAACGTATGACAGCATTTCCAGCTAATAGACATTGCAGTAAATCCCAGATGGGATGTTTGCAGACTGTGCCATGTTCAATAGAAAAAAGCAGAATAACCTTTCAACCTCATATAAAATAAATTCCTGAAATCCTGTTATTTACTGCGTATTTGAAAATTTGGGGGGTATATCTTTCTGTATAAATCAGGTTTATTTATTTGTTGAGGTCCATATCATAAGCTTGGCAATGGAAGATAGTCCCTGGTCTTAATATGGTAATATTAACTACATGTGTGCCCTTTCTTTGGATATCAGTTCTTTAGTGTGAATTAACCTATATGCACTTTTGCAAACCGCTGAAGAATAGGGTAGAAATGGACTACTGCTTAAGTGGTGAAAGCATAGAAAAGCTTGGAAACTTTCATAAAGTTGCCTGTTTTTCATGCTTTTTCATTTTCCTTTTCTTTCTCAAAATATATTTCATTTCTTCTTCTGCAGTTTCAGTTCGTGTTTGAGAAGTTTAAATATCGACATTTGTTTGAGGGTACCATCTCAATCGAGATGTTCTTTCACGGTGTATGGCCCTATGTGTTTGTGAATGATGTTCTGGAACCACTTGGTGGCTACTTATACTATATACCATAAGCTACTTTGGCCCAAATTTCAAATCCAGCATGGCTGTTCCACACTGAGGGATCACTCTTCCTATATGTCCTCCCAGCCTGGATTTGGGAGCGGCAGTTTTCTAATGTTGCTAGAAATAATTTTACATCATTGATGATGCCCTGACTCATTTCTCCATAATCTGTTTTTAAGCCTTTTACCTTTCATTACTGAATGACTGCTTTCCAACAGCTAGGCCTAGGCTTCTACACTGGCATATGCAGAGGGAACATCTGCTCCTGGACCCAAAAGTGGAATAGAGACCCTGAGATCTACAGCTCTAAAGACCTAGGAAGAGGGAGAAAGCACAGCTATAGTGGAGCAGCATGTACAGAGTAGGGGGAAAAAATTGGAGAAAAACTAAACTGGGTTTGGGGAATAAACATTGATTGAGCATTTTCACTGACTGGCTGTAAGCTAGGAACATTACAGTGTCTCGTTAATATTCAACACTTACAACTATTATAATATGTACCTTAAACCTGTCAAATTAAGTTATGATCATTCCAAAAGTGAACTCTAAGCATCATCTTTTTCAAAGTATATTGTTCAGGTAGCACATTTTATTAGCCCATACGGTATGGTTATTTTCTCAAAATGTATAAAAATGTAAAGGGAGCAGTAGCCATTCATCAGAAATAGCAAGTGACAATAAGCTCTCCAAAGAATGTTTTCATACTCAGCTTCTGGGAGTTGAAATTCAGGGTAGTTAGGATTACCAAACTGGTAGGTATTGGCTGGTATCTTGGGAAATTTGACTTTTTGCAATTGAATTATAAAACAGGGCTCTCCTTTGGATTTGCTTCCATGCATTTGCCATTTTACTCAGTATCATAGCTTTGTCATCTGTTCCTCTTACATTTAAATGAGTTTCTTTACATTGTTCTTGGTAACTGTTTTCCAGAGGATAATTGTGGAGTTGATTTTATATTTTTGATGCACTTTTTATGAAATTAAGCTAGGGAAAAATTGCATAAAAACTTACTGCCTCGTGAAACATAGTGTTCTTATAATCAGAAAGTGTTATTTTTAAGAAGGTTGAACTCTTTAACTTCTAAACAAAGTATTGACTACATTGCAGAGGGTATAAAATACTTGAATTGCCACCCTGTCTGGTGTGGTTCAGTTGGTTGGGCATCATCCAGTGCACTGAAAGGTTGCTGGTTCGATTCTGGTCAGGGCACATGCCCAGGCTGCAGGCTTGATCCCAGTAGAAGGAGTGCAGGAGGCTGTCGATTGATATTTCTCTCTCTCTGTCCCTCTCCCTCTCTCCTTAAAAATAAATTTAAACAAAGACTTCAATTACCAAAGACCTTAAAGATTATGCACAACAACCTGTTAAATTCACAAATGAGAACCTAATGCACAGAAATGTAGGGAAATTTCTTTTTTACCTCTTTTTGGAACAGAAACAAATGTCAGTAGATTAGAGGCAAATCATACATATAGTGGGAAAATGAGAAGAAAAATATACCTTAAGATCTGTTTTTAATTTGCTCTGTCACAGAAACTAATCTGTTTTCCCCCCCACCCTTTGTTTTTAGTGGCCACAGATGTCTTTAATTCCAAAAACCTGGCCGTGCAGGCACAAAAGAAGATCTTGGGTAAAATGGTATCCAAATCCATCGCTACCACCCTAATCGATGACACGAGCAGCGAAGTGCTGGATGAGCTATACCGGGTGACCAGGGAATACACCCAAAACAAGAAGGAGGCTGAGAAGATCATCAAGAACCTCATCAAAACGGTCCTCAAGTTGGCCATTCTCTACAGGAATAATCAGTTTAATCAGGATGAGCTAGCGCTGATGGAGAAATTTAAGAAGAAAGTGCATCAGCTTGCTATGACCGTGGTCAGTTTCCATCAGGTAGATTACACCTTCGACCGGAACGTGTTGTCCCGGCTGCTGAACGACTGCAGAGAGCTGCTGCACCAGATCATTCAGCGCCACCTCACCGCCAAGTCACACGGACGGATTAATAACGTCTTTGATCACTTTTCAGATTGTGATTTTTTGGCTGCCTTGTATAATCCCTTCGGGAATTTTAAACCCCACTTACAGAAACTTTGTGATGGTGTCAACAAAATGTTGGATGAAGAGAACATATGAGCGTGTGAATGAAGATGGGGACTGCTCGCAATTGATCTGAAGATGGAGCCCTGTTGGTTTATGAAGGAAAAGAAGGATTTTTTGAAGAGTAAACATATTTCAGAAAGACTCTGCCCAATCCAATTGTCAGACGTTAATGATAATGTTTCGTGAGGCTCATTTTATTTGAAGAAAAGCATATTGCCAAAAATTATGGATAACAGCTTCCTAAGGGGTAACAAGTACTGGGGAAGATGTGTGGTCGCAGAAGGCAAATACCGAGCTACACAGAGTATGCGTGACTCCAAACCTGGAGACATCTTTTTCAGAGCAGTTGTATTGGCGGCACGTTGGATATTTCTAACATGTACAGAGTTACGTATTTTGATTAACTTTTGTTCATTACTATGTATATATACCTCTTTTAAACAGCCAAGAACTTTTCTTGCTGTCATTTCTCCTTTCGAAGCCATTCCATTTTCAAGTCTACCTTTTGTTAAAGATTCTTTTGTGAAAGATTTTTGTCATTGACATCCAAGAATTAAGTCTTAATTAAGAATTAAGACATTAAACAATTGAGGCAGTCCAATTGGAACCCTCAGAGAAATGGAAAACTGCTTCTCTGAAATCAGTATTGTAGAAATCAAAACTGTGTCTGACATTATGCATAATGCCTAATATAAGACTATGCCTCTGGAGTCAAGTCCTGTTTTTTAATACCAACCGTGATATTTCCTAGACGTGATAATGCCCCAGAACGTAATGCCTTGAAATGCTTGCTGAGGGCTTAGCTTTCATGTTATCTTGAAAATGTGCTGATGGAATCTCCCTTTTTAATATCCATTTGAAATGTAAGAGACAAAGAGAAAATCTAGATTGTTCTTGATATTAGGACAATAAAAAGTAAGTGGTATTAAGAAAAATAAACAGTCTTTATTTTAGAAATTGAGTCCATCAAAATAATGTAGGAGGATGAGGAACAAAAAGGGAATAAAGGATATTGCTACAGAATATGAGAATGAAAATTAATGCATTTCAATGTTTAGTAAGGTTTGATAGGTAAATAAAGAATGCCACTTTTTTATTTAACTGGTAAGGTTTTTGCTATTTTTTTATTTGCTGTTTTGATGAGTAAACCAAAGACTATTTGCATTTCAAGCAGTTTGTGTGTTGTTTCTATGTAATTTTATGTGTGTGAATGATAAAGTAAACACTCGCTTATTTTGTCAAAAAAGAAATGGAAACCTGCTGGCCAAGAATATCACCTAGGAAATAACAGACAACCAGCAACACTAAATATTTGCATTGTCACCATGCCTGTGATGCAGTGTACTCTTGCCTTGAATTTGCCTCCCAGAATATTCACATTCAAATAATAGTTCTTCAGGAAAGGGCCTACAACTAAAATTCCAGAGGTTGAGATCTGCTTTAACCCGCTGCAGCCTAGAGGAGGTGACCAGTTTCTCTGGGACCCTCATGGGCTTGTCTAAGACAATTAGCAGAGGCAAAGTATCTATCTCCCTGTTTGATACTAAATCCTGACATAAAGATTTGAACTTAAATTACTATTCTTACTTCCCAGAACTGGTAGGTGACCCCTATGTGTTATAGGAATAGCATAGTGACTGCAGAAATGGCCCCTTTAGCTTCATATCCTGCAAAGGAGCTTATAAATTTAGTTCAGCAGCCTTCCTTGGCCAGCTCTGCTTTCCTCAAAGCAGAGAGTGTAGCCTGTGGGAGCTCCTGACTTGTTCATTCTGTTCTCTCCCAGATCTTCCTCAGCGGGTGTGGGAAATGAAGTGTCCTGGCCGTTGGTGGGTGCTTCTTGCTCATCTCTCCCTATGGAACAGGACCACCAAAGAGGGAGGAGCTGGGAATGAATTCAGATCAGTCTGGGCACGTTGCATCGTTGCATCCAGAGTTATGCCTGCGGCTAGCAATCAGATAGACGTGGGGGAGGGGGAGAGCTACCCTTAATCTCACACGGAAGAAAGGTCGTAGGCAGTATTCTGAAGAGGGGGACCTGTTTATTATCTCTCAGCTTCATCTTCTGGGAGGAACTCATCTTCTCACCAGTCCTGGGCCGGGGAGGCATGCCCTAGAAGCATCCGTTACAGCGTCTTGATCAGCAGGTTCACCTCTGATGAAACAGGACGTTCTTTGTGCATGAATTTAGTTGTGGGGTAGAGGGTAGGGGTGGGTGGGGGTGGTTAAAGCTGGAAATAATCCAAATGTATTTAGGATAGATAATTCTGAGCCAAGTGATAGTCATTTTGGGGTCTTATGGACATTTTTTAAAGATTGAGTTTGCATTTTGGAAAAAACATACCAATTGTGTTATAATTGATTTTTAAAGTTCAGTGCTAATAGCTCCTCTGCAAACAGGAGTTAATCTAATAGATGAGTGATAATACTAATATTAACAATTGACACAAAGTGGCTGTTGTGTGCCAGGCACATTAACTCATTTAATCTCTGCCACAACCTTCACCATTTTACAGACCAGGACACTATGGCAAGAGAAGTTAAGGAATTTGCCCGGGGTCATATAGCTATTACGTGTCAAAGCCTGTATTTGTAACACTGTATTTTAGTTGAATGATAGCATGGATAAAGGCAATTCTAGAAACATCATTGGTTCAGAGAAGAGTGGGCAGTGTGCTTCCGAAGTAGTTTTCACATAGTGACATTTTAGATGATATTTAAATCCTAGAGGTGTGACCTATTCTCTCAGATCTGGGTGTAATTTATACCAAGTATTCTATGAAGTTTTCAACATGGCTCCTCATTTGGGGCCATCTCATGGCTCAAATGTCTGTCCCTGCTGGAACTTAAATTCAAGGCGCTTGCAATGAACAATGACTTGGAACGCTGAAACACGAGGTGCAGTGGACCCAGCCCCAGCTGGTCTTTCAGCGGACACACAGTGAGCTCTGTGTGCACACGCCCAAGGCAGACGCAGCAGCTCACCGCTGTGTTCCCCAGAAGAGGTACGGCAGCAATTTGCTGCTTCATTATTTTCCAGGTTTAGAGGTTGGAAATATCTGAACAAGTAAGTTTGAGGATAGCCTTGTGTTTTTCTGATTATTAGACCTTTTGTATACAACTAAAAATTAGTTTAAAAAAAAGGAAAATGTTAGGAACTTTAGTAGTACAGAGATAATGCTCTTTTTTTTTTTTTGTCTTATATAACAGTATCTCACTCAATTATCTGGAAAGTTTTTTTCCTCCCACCATGTAAATACTTAAAAAAACACAAAGCTTAAACTTTGTAATGGATTTTCCCCTCAAAGGATTAATATAGCACTTTTTTGGTCTACATTTCAAGTCAATTGGATTTTTACTGAGCATTTTCATTTATCCTCGAGACACTTGATAAGAGCACATAAGCTGAGTTATAATTTAGCATATCAGTCTTGACAGATAGTAAATGAAAGATGAAATATTTCATTCCATTCCATATGATGGAATATTTGTAGTAAAGAGTTAAGTGCTATTTAATTGCTAGGAAATTAAAATAACCTAATCAAACAAACTTAATTAGCATGTTAATAGGATTTATATCTATTTTTAGCCAACTTGCATTTCCAAACTTGTGTTATCTAAGTTAATTGAACTTCGCAGTGTTTGAAAAATTACTGCTTTGCTTGATAGATTGTATTCCTTGGCATAAAGCTTCTGTGTAATTTGTTAAGCTCAGAGCAGGTTTTAACATTCAGTGCTGTTTATGACAGGTAACATTTTATCCTAGCTCTGAAATAATTCTCTTTCTGTGATTCAGATACAGTCTTTATAGAAACCCCCTAATGAAAACATTGAGGCACTAACCAGAAAAATGAGTCAACTTTTTGTTCCTAAAATGGAACAGAAACATTTTTAGGAGCTTATAATCACATATTACTATTATGGCAAACTATTGAAAATCCATTTTCTCTTTTATTGAGGTGTCTTCATGGTTAGTTATGTAGGCCCAGAGCCAGAAAGACACTTTTATTTTGGGGGATTTCCCAAAATGGAAACATTTTTTGGTACTAATGATTTATGTCTGTCTAGCCAAAGATGTGTTTTCCATCTAGCAACGAACCTCAGTCCCAAGTTATGGGGGACAAGTCACTGCAAAACAGCCCGTCTGCTGAGCTCTAAATAGGGCTATGTGCAAGTCAGCCAGCGATCACAGTTAAGAGGAAAACATCTGTGCTTTGGAAAATGCCCTTCAAGTACAGAGCTGTGCCCTGTGTCCACCACATTTCCATCGGATCTTTGTAAGATGAGCCAGCCCGTGGGTAAGGCCCCTTCCCCTTCCTTCATGGGTGGCTGAGGAAATTTCCTGCCTTCCCCGCTCACAGCTGCATAACTGTATTTCTGCCTTATGCAAAGAAGAGGGCTGATCGGGCACTTAGGGCTCGTTCTTCACACAAGGAAAGAATATTTGATTTTTAAAAGTATGCGTTTTGATGTGCAGAATGATCCAAGACCATATGCTTCTCTGTACTTCAGTTTTTCCATTTAAAAGCTCACAGGTAGATGGATTAAGTCATTTAAAACTGCCTGATACAATATGTTTTAAACATAGGGCAGGAAAGTGAAAACTCAGCTTATGTACCTAGATGGTCACCATTATCTGGGATGATGGGTGTTTTATAAGAAGCTGAGGTTGCATTTTCCTGGAAATGGACTTTTATTGGCCCAGCAAAAGCCACTAGGTACCCATCCTAAGTGACTGTCCTGCTGCTAAGACCATTTGTTTTCACTAAAGGATAAATAACTTGCCAAGCAAATGATATATTTTTATAAGACATTAAATGTCCTGGAAGAGGATTGCTGCTAATTAGATAAAGGTGCCAGCATTATTACTGTCCCCTTATCACAGCCATTTTCAACCGCTTTCATCTCATGGCACATAAACTAATTGCTAAAATTCTGCAGCAGACCAAAAATACGATTTTTGCCCATCTGACAAAAAAAAAAGTATAATTTTGATTCATTCACACCGGACAGCTATTGTTGTGTAGGCTGTCTTTTATTGGACAATCTAAGGCAAAAGAGGTCAGTGTCCCTGTCTAAACAGTTAGGTGCTGCATGTATTAAAAATTCTGTGGCTCACGGTTGAAAATCACTGCCATATTGTATGGACTTTGTGTTCTCATAGCCGAGGAGTCACATTCTTAGGTTGCTGAAATAGTCACTGGGAAATACTCAGTGAAAGCTACGAGTGGAAACATCCCGTAGCATTTTCAAACACCACGTGCCAGGAGTTTGGCATCTCTTCCTGCTGGGGACACACTGGAGGGTGGCCAGGTGGAGCCCCGTTTTCAGGGTTTTCAGCAACTAGTCTGCCAGGGAGCCTTCTCAACTTATCTCCAACATTTGGACAAAATCAATTACCTCATATGCTCATTTTTAGGATAAATTAAACAAAACATGGAGGGCTTTGAAACCTCCTGAAGACTATTCCTGCGTGGAGTGTTTACCTAGGCAAAGAAAAGAAGTGTAGAGCCTAAAGTAAACAACAGGCTTCCGCAGCCCCAGATAATTTTATCAAATCTCAATCTCTTTAAAAAAATTGTCTTTTGTTTTCAGTTTATAATGCACACCTATTATGTGTCCAGCACCAGGCTGGGCCTTGGACCCGCACAGTAACACCTCGATCCTGTACTTGAGTAGTTCACTGACTGCTGGGGACACTGACAAGGCCACAGGTACGTTCCCTGAATTAGGATTCCCGGGGTGAGGCGGATCCCAGGAAAGGCTTTGTCAGCCTCAAATACTCTTGCTTTCTGGCTTTAAAATTTTCACAGCTTTTTGAGTTTTAAATTCATGCTTTAGAAGCAGTGAGCTCAGCCCTGGCTGGTGTGGCTCAGTGGGTGGGCTTCGTCCCATGCACTGGAAGGTTGCAGGTTCGCCCCCTGAACTGGTCCAGTGAGCATGGCCCTTCCATGGTTCTCGGCAGCCGGGCCACTGGCTGGTTTGGTTCTGTCTGCTCACTCGTCACTTGCTCATCGCTGCCTGGAGCTCCCTGAGTCTTGGAAAAGAAAAGTTAAGAAACCCTGGCCGGTGTGGCTCAGTTGGTTTGGTTGGAACATCGTTCCGTACACCAAAAGATTGCGGGCATGAACCCCCGTCGGGGCGCATGCAGGAGGCAACCGATCTTTCTCTCT